CTTCACACACACACACACACAAGGGGTCAAAGTTCAAGTCAAAGAAACAATCAGTTCCACTACAATACAAGTAGCCTAGAAGGTGTGAGAACACACAAAAACAACCAATCACGTGTCAGGTCAATCACTGACCAGGAGAGATGATTAATGGTGAACTCGTGGAGAAATCTAAAAGCTCACTTCAATTGAAATTGAAGTATGGGCTGAAGGAAGATGTCACCCAGTAGGGTGATGAAAGCTTCTCAAATTAACCATCCACCTCAGAAAACGCAACCACGTCAAAAATGTTTTATTTCACAAGATGGGTTTGCTGGCCTCATGACCAAGCTTCCCTCTATACCATTCCTAAAACTGGCTTGGTGAGGTATATTTGTCCGTCGTCTGGTGATTCAACCCCATACCACGTGCATTGTGGGCGAGCGTCCTAAACGCTATTCCACCGACGCTCTGTTGTGGGTGTCTTGGGTGTCCTCAGACATCGTAGAAGCATGCGTACTAGAAGTGGGCATGCCAATATAGAGATCGATTTTTCTGGTCTGATATAAAAATCAGTCAATGGGAAGCACAAATTAAACTAAAACCAAATATTCGGTCATTTCTGATGAGTGTTATTATCATTTGTCTTAATGAGATTATAGGATTTGTGGTCAATTAGATTAATCTGAAGTGTTAGACTTAACCAACATCAGCTAGAGTGACCATTCAGCACACAGTTCAGGAGGCCACACGTACAGCCCAGCACCTGAACTACGCCTCTTTAAAACGACTTCGTCGCATGACACTCACAGTCTCCAACCATCGATTTATGATAGCCTGAGGATCCCATCCAGGTCTCAGTGGTCTGGAGTAATTAGATGACGCAATTCTTCTAAGGAAAGACAATGGGGAAATTCTGAGTCTTCTGTATGCTGTAAGAAAAATCTAGGTATGATATTCCATCTTGCCCTGTGGAACATAGGATGACTCCTGAAGACTGGTCTGCACCAAATCTTAGTTTAAGGATAAAACGTAGAGTATTTGAACTTTTTGGTCACTTCACCACATCGCTTCTGATGAATTGATTGCTGATACACTCTGACCATATACATGAAAATATCATTAGGTATTATCCAATATGCGTCATCTTCTAGGGCTAACTTGATGTTCATTTATCCATTTGCCCCATCCTTCCTTACCGCTGTAAGATATGGTCATAAAGTTCATAAATCAGGATTCCCTATCAAACCTATAGTTTATTTTAGAAATTCACCTACTTATGAATTATCTAAATATTTAGCCATGGTGTTAAATCCTCTAAAAAACCACTCGAAACCATCAAGACTAACTAATTCTTATGAACTAAAACATAGATTAGATAATTTAAAATTAGATAATGAAGAAAAAATGGTCGGTTTTGACATTGTCAGTTTATATACACGTATACGAATAAATATGGCTAAAGAGGCAATCAGATACGAAACCATTTCTGACCAAGAACTCGAACCTAGGACAATAGTACCACTTGAGGACATAGTGGTGCGATTGCAGCTAGCTTTGCCTGACTTCCACAGTAGTTAAATTCGAAGGGAAAATATACAGACAAACTGATGGAGTTTCCATGGGATCACCAATATCACCGGTTGTGGCAAATATATTCATGGATAGGTGGGAGAGCATAGCGATTGAAACGTTCACCTCCACCCCAAAATTATGATGGAGGTATGTAGATGACACATTCACTGTACTCAGAACACAAAATATAGATAAATTTTTCGAACAAATAAACTCGAAGATAGAGGCAATTCAATTCACTTATGAATTGGAAAGTCACGAAGGGGAACTTCCAATGTTAGATTGCAACGTGAAAAGGAAAGAAGATGGGAAGTTCAACACTAGTGTGTGTTTACAGAAAACTCACACATTCAAACAGATATTTGGACTTCCGATCATCCAATCCTATGTCAGTAAAATTGGATTGGTGAAATGTTTAGGTGACAAAGCACAAAAACTAAGTAGTATGAAGGAAAATTTAGGTCAGGAAGTGATACACATAAAAGAAACCTTGAAACTTAATAATTACCAGGATAAATTAGTCAAGGAACATGTAGGTAAATGTAAAAATAAAATAAATAATGATAATAGTGATAGTGATAATAATAATAATGATAATGGTAATAATAATAGTGATAATAATAATAATATTGCATGGAGGATTTAATCATGAGCTGACATCAGTTAGAGAACCACTGGAAAACCTGGGAGTACTGGACAGCCGTTTCGTCCTAGTTTGGGACTCCTCAGCAGTACGCACCCACCGGGATTCGAACCCAGGACCTTCTGGTTACAAGGCGAGCTCGTAGACCATTGAGCCACTGGGACCCGATCCAATGGCAGAAGTTAGAATTCAAGGACCATTGGATCGGGTCCCAGTGGCTCAATGGTCTACGAGCTCGCCTTGTAACCAGAAGGTCCTGGGTTCGAATCCCGGTGGGTGCGTACTGCTGAGGAGTCCCAAACTAGGACGAAACGGCTGTCCAGTACTCCCAGGTTTTCCAGTGGTTCTCTAACTAATGTCAGCTCATGATTAAATCCTCCATACAATCAAACAAAATCCCTACAAAAACCAATACTTGAAAAATAATAATAATAATATTAATGTTAATGAAGACGCCAACAATAAGGAATCTAAATCATCAGTAGTAATTCCATACAAGGAAGGAACCTTGGAAGCCTAACGCAGAATTCTTAACAACGCAGGAATAAAAGTGGCTGGTATTCAAACCAACCACAAACTCAATTAGAAACAAGCTTTGTCGGTTAAAGGATCACTCCTGTGGAGCCAATAAAACGAAACAATTCAGTTTATCTAATACCCTGTCTGCCTGCAATGATTGTCAGGTCAAATACATAGGTCAAACTAGTAGAACAGGGGCAGTCAGTCAGTCAGACTAGCTGAGTATAAAAACCTAGCAAAATCTAGATTAGTTGACCCAAATAAGATAAGAAATCTAGAGAATAGTTCAGCCATAGCACTCACTACATGCAATTACACACTACAGAGCCATGCAATAGGATGGGATGGGATAAGATGACAGTTTTAAAATCTAATGTCACAGGGTGGCGGGTGAGAAAGGTTGGTAACAGAAGCTTTGTTTATCGAATCAACTACAAATACATGTAATAGGAATGATTCAACACCTGTCCACCCAGATATCTGGAAAATTCTACTAACACCCCTACGACAAATAGGAGAAAACAAAGGAAACTATAAAACTGAAATTTCGATGTCGTGTGGTTATAATTCATGGTATGACTATGAACAGTAATAAAGTTTGTTCGAAACGTCATCCAGTAAAAAGTCATACTGTTTCACTGTGTGATATACCTAATAAACAAACTAATATGGGATTACTTACTACTACAATGACCAAGTTTAACACATATATTAGTAAGACATGGTCCCTGAAAGTTTTCTTGTAAGTTACAGGAATATGTTGAGTAATTGTAGTGGGGTTAGGTAAGTAAAGAAGGTGAATCAAAAGGAGTTGTTAAACTGTATCGACTGAGATAACTACGGTGCATGTTACGACCGCTGAACCACAACTTTCCTCAACTATAAACATTATTTGAAGTAAGAATAGGTTGAAAAGGAGTTTGGAGTGGTCAGAACAGAACACAGCATCAATCTATGCGTTGTATAAGGAGGCTAGTTGCAGTCCTCACAGTGCCAAGTATCAACAGTTGGAGAATGTGAGAGTCATGTGTCCAAAATCATTTTCAGTGTAGCAGTTCAGGCACTGAGTTCTATCCCTAGTGAGATTTAGGGTGCGCACTAATGTAGAGTTCCGAAATGGGATGAAATAGCTGTCCAGTGCTATCTTGGTTTTACAGTGATCTTTATAAATGATGTTTTTTCACTAAGCAAACCTAAAAATTCAAATTAAATTATGATTACTGTGTTAAATCACTTGGCCTTTCACAGAGAGTGCTTACAATAGTTATTAAATTAAATAAAGGGATTAACTTTCTCACAAGTTATTTTATTGTGATACACATTCTCATAGTGGTTGCGCAAAACCTATGACGTTTTACAAGCATTATATATATATATATATCGTGAGATAAAATGCAGAGTAGTGTGTATGCACGGGAATAAAATATTCAATTGGGGGGTGTGTGTGAGAGAGAGAGAGAGAAACAAAGAAAAAACTTATTGAAGAAATGTACTTATAATTCCACTGCCTTGTTCACACCCTACAACAATCGAGTTGATTATCAAAGGTAGGTTAGGTTACGTTAGGTATGACATAGACGGGGCATATTATACTGTTGTATATATATATATATATTAAAGTACTGACTAAAGTCATTCGACCAATCACGATTCAGATACTGCCATGAGCTTTGATTGGTCAGTCTTCAGAACAACAACAACAATAATAACATTAACAACAGAAAGAAACGACAACTTCAAATCAGTTGGACAATATAACACAGTGTACAGGATATTAATTGACCAAGTTACCAAAGCACAAAAAAGAAAAGCAGACAGAGAACAGGATAAACATGAACTACATCTGAAAAAAAAAAGATATACATATATTCTAATTAAAACTCCAGGAGTTAAAAAAAAAGAATTGAACGCCCTGAAAAACTTGTGATGCATACATAATACAATACTTTTGTGTTGTAAGAGGAATACAGTTCAGTTGGCAAGTTGACTTTTCGCACTATTTTAGCATTGAAGATATTACAAATGTTACTATCTTCGAATGGCATACAGTCTGTTTAGTCATATTAGACATTGTATATATGTGTATATACGCACAAAAAACACGCACACACATTCACACACACACACACGCATACAACTGTGCTAGAACACCTTGGGAGAGTATGTTTTAAGTCTATTTGAAACATTGATACACCTGAAGACTTGTCTCAATAATTATTATATTCCACGAAAATTTTTGTCAATTTCCGCGGCAATTTTTGTGTAAAGCATTTAAACAGATAAGAATATGTATGTGGATACTTCAAAACCGATGGATATTCCGAATGAGTAAGTGAATACATTTTTGGCGGGAAATTTTATCACAATTTCTTTCAAGTGGTTTTTAGTTTGATAATAATAATAATAATACTTCAAACAGTACTTTCGACTTAAGGTGGAATTTTCAGCATGCAGTACAATATTCCATATAAATTTCTCTTTATGGGAAGAAATAATTAATTAGAGCATTTATAATAATAACTGCAGTTTATTATTATTATTTCCCTTAATTCCGAGAGGAACAAAGGGCTTCAGCTGCGCATTTCCATTGCTTTCTGTTTTCTGCCAACATTTTCACCTCGATCCAGGTCTGCCCACATGCTTTCATCTCCTCTTCACATGACCTCCTCCAAGTCAACCTTGCACTGACGACCAACTCGCCAACCGCTTCCCTTTCGGCCTGGTTCCACTCGACCAATGGCTTGTCCAGTGATGTCACTCACTTGATGCTTTCCTTTCTCAGAGTATGGCCAGCCAATCCATCTCCATCCATCTTCCTGAATATTTGTTTCACAATCGGTTCCTGCTGTGTTGGTTGGTTAGCTCATTGCCAGAGATCCCTATTGCTGATTCTTTCTGGCCAGCCGGCCATCTGATCTTGAGCGGAGTATTGAGCGAAGACAACTGGCTATTGATGAAGGTCTGAAGTTTGTTTGAGATGCTCTTTATGACGCGCTGGCCAAGTCTCTGATCCGTATAGTAAGTAGCACTGACTGACTTCACATTGGCGTTGAAAATCCGGATGTTTATTTTTGATGCTGAGTAGTGCTGTTGACCTCCACACAGACTTGAGAGTAATGAAATCTTGTCTTCCTTTTCCGATTCTGGCTTTGATATGCTCACCAGTTTGGTTCGCCTGTAGTTGAAATGATGTTTCCCAGGTAGGTAGGCAGCTAGGTGAAGGAGGTTGTTTCTTTCGGGTTCCATCCATTTATGCTGGCTGTTTGTTGTCTGTTGTCAATAAGAATATAAATATATAAAATTAAATCAAAATATTAACAGCAACATAATAATGAAAAAAGGGCAACACAATAACAGGGCCATTTATTCAGTAAGTTAGTAGTCTCCTGCCTAGCACTTTTCTTATCACAAGATATTGTAGAGTCTTCACACATAGTGGTCCAAGTATAAAGACTTCTATAATTGTTGCTTCTAATCCTACTTGAGGAGATAGATGCAAGGATCCTCAAAGTCTGAAAAGACAATATTCACTAATTTCTTGTATGAATCTATGTATCTTTTAGTAGCAGTACTAACAAGTCTGCTTAGCAACACCCCACTCGCCCTACTGACAGATCTTAGTGCTCTTCACAAGATAACAAACAAAGTCTTTCTTGTGTAGCCCAGGAAAGATTAAACGCTGTGGAGACAGTAGAGAAGGATAGACAGAATACATGAATTAACAAATTTGGAAAGTAGATGAGACTGAGTGATACCAAATCGTTTTAACTTGCTTACGCACAGCATCACAGGAAATATCTTTCTGGAAGGTAAAATGATGTGGGAAGACCAGCAGAGATCAGAGGAAGTATACAATCCAAGGTATTTAACTACTAATTTAGATTCAACTTCGACGCCTTCTACGATAGTTGAACTAGTGTGAAGTAACCAGTTCACCCAGGTCGCGCTTGTGTCTCAAAGTGAAATTAACCACCTGACATTTAGAGTGATAAGGCTCAAGACCATTTATGACAAAGATCAATAACTAAATTCGGACATAAAGTGGAAACTTTTCAATGAAATTACTGGCAAAAGTAAGCGATGTAATGTTTTTCCCTCTTTTGATGTTAATGCTCTTAATCTGTCTTTTTTACGCTCTCCTTCTACTATAACCACTTCTAACGTTACTAATCTTGTAGCTGATAACTTCCAGGACTTCAATACTCTCGATGTTTTGAAATGTCTTAAAACTCTTAAGCCCTCACATAGTCTTGGCCCTGATAGCATACCTGCATATGTTCTAAAACAATGTGCAGATGCTTTATGTTCTCCTCTAACTAATATCCTAAATGCTTCTTTTTCCGAAAACGTTGTACCTGTTCCATGGAAAGACATTAAAATAGTCCCTGTCCCTAAACCTGGAAATAGCAAGAACGTAAAGTTCAGACCCATCGCCATCACTTCCCCGTTTCTAAAGCTCATGGAAAAACTAGTACTTCTTAAACTCGAACCCTCCCTTAAAAGCTTCGAAGACCCCAAACAATTTGCCTACAGACAGGGTAGGAGTACTTTAGACGCTGCAGCCGTCTTACACAACAGTATTATCTCATCATTAGACAAAGGTGCCAAATATGTCCGCTGCACGTTTCTTGACTTTACTTCTGCTTTCGACTCTGTACCTAGAAGTCTCTTGCTAAATAAGCTCTCCATGACACAAACCGAGTCCTGGGTCACTAACTGGTTGCATTCCTACTTTTCAAACAGAATGCAGTACACCGTATACAAAGGCCAATCCTCCTCTGCTGTGCTCACAGAAGCTGGTGTCCCCCAAGGTGCTGTACTCTCCCCACTTCTCTTTTCTTTCTTTCTACATGACCTACCGTCTTCAAATGACATTAACTTTGTCAAATATGCTGATGACCTAACTGTATCTTTACCTGTCAAATGTCAAAGTGACTGCTCTAAACTAAATGGCTTCTTATCGGAAATTAGCCAATGGTCCAAGGAAAACGGTCTAACCTTAAACCCCTCCAAATGCCAAACAGTTAATTTCACCCTTAGGCATAAATCTGACCTAAACAAACTGGTTAGCACTCACGAGGTGTGCAACATAGATGGCAGTGAAATAGAAACCAAGTCGGAAATTAAATACCTAGGCGTCACTCTATCTTCTGATCTTTCCTGGTCGTCTCATATCTTGACGATTTCCAAGAAAATATACCGTCTTACCTTCTACATCAAGAAGTTAAGACATTCTGGTGTAACCCAACCCTTACTCCTACAATTTGTTAACTCCCGTATTCTGCCTATTATTCTCTATTGCTCCCCCTTAGTCTTTCCTGGGCTATTGAAGAAAGACTATACCTTATTACGTAGGATGTTAAAGGTTGTCAGCAGGGTAAGCAGTTTGCCACTTAGCCAGCTTGTTAATATTCTGGTGGACAGGCACATGGACTCATGTGAAAAATGGGCGAAATCCATTTTATCTGACTCACAACACCCTCTACATTCACAACTCTCCCCATGTATCTCTTCAGGGAAAACAAGAAGCCTATATAGGAAACTATATGCCCGCACTAGTAAGTACAAAAACTCATCCATACCCTACCTAGCTCGTGTTCTGTGCGATAAAGAATGCATCAGGCATGAAACCTTTAACTTATTAAATAGTCAGTAGAACCAATGGATCTTGTCTTTCCAACTCACATCATTTATAGGTACAACGTTTTCTCGCTCTTCATTCTGTATTTATTTTTGTTATGTGCTGTTTTGTTTCTCTCTTCCTTGCAAACTCTACTTAAAACATTCTTGTTCGTTCTTTCACACTCTGTACATCTCGAACATTTTGCTATCGCTTACGCCAGTAAATATGCTAGTAGTATCTACTTTTCTAACACCTTCAAACACTTTAATTTTGGCTTTGCTACCGACATACTAATATGTTGTTGAGATAACTTTAATCTATGTAGAACTTTATTTATTGTTAATGTAAAAACTGGATGCAATATTGTAGTAAAATGCTGAGAATTCCATTCTGTATCACAAGTACTGATTTGGAATAAAGCTTATGTTATGTTATGTTAAATTCATTTTTAAACAGTCTGAATCAGAAGTAACCGGTGACACAGACAATCGGGCATACTTCACGAAAGTGGTTTCATCAAAATGCAACAGGTCATGTTAGAAGAAGGAAAACAGAAAACAAGAAACAACAGCACCCTAAGTCGTGAACACGAGGTAGGGTGAGTGAAGCAGTGGGAGAATTTACATCATATACAGTGTACTGCTTCCTATCAGGAAGGTAAGGATGCAACCATTTATCAGTCCAGCAATCTGCTTGTGTTGCATCAAGCTTGTTTAATAAAGGAGGTTTAGGCACACAGTTGAATGGTGTAATCAAGGAATGAAAACTGGACAAATTTACCGCCTCTATCTATACTAGAGACAATGTTATGATACAAGACGATAGTGTCATCTAAATACACCTGCTATGCTTATAAGTTTACGGACATTAACATTGTTTACGGACATTAAAAACCTTCAATGAAGGTTTAAGGCCGTGTATGTAAAAGCAGTCTTTCCATTATTGTTTAAAAAAAGGTTAGGTAATGGTAAGAGGTTTAAACTCAACACTTAATTCACTTGATGATTTGGGCATAAGACCAATTTTTATATCCTTCTAAGAAGCAGGCACAATGTTAGTGGAAAACGACTCACTGAAAATACCACTCTGAGGGGATAACACTAAATATCCGCATATATTTTGAGGATAATAGGAAGCACACCATCTTGACGAAAGGACATGGTAGTTTTCAAGAATCGGAGACACTTGAGGACGTCGTTTGTAAGTAAGACCAGAGAAGTAGTCAGTATTTACAATTCATTTTGTTTCAATAATTTTAATCCTATTTAGATATATTACTGAAATAATTAAGAATACTACTATTGATTTCCTCAATCTAAGGTATTCAAGCTGTATAAAAGCATACATGGACTGTCAGTATTTTTTTTATATCTACTAGGTCGCATGTGCGGTCAATAAATTAAAACCTTATCTCACATGAATTCCCTGATGAAAGCCATGCCCTATTCATCTCAAGTAATGAATACTTACTGACTGACTGACTGCCTGACTCGATAAACTGAGGGAATCTGTATGTCGACAGGTAACTAAAGGCAGTCTTCAAAGACATTAAAATTGTTTCAGACACCGTGCAATATAATAATAATAATAATGATGATGATGATGATGATGATGATGATGATGATCACCTTATTCCACACAATAATAATAATCATAAAAAAATGGAATTTTTAAAATTTTTCTGTACATATGGCCTGGACTTCGC